CAGGAGAGCAGGTTCAGGAGGGGCAAGCCAAGCTGATACCTCCCACCAGGCGCATTGCTGGAGTAGCTCTAGGGCCACCCTGCTGGAGTAACTGCAGGCAGCTGGGCCTGAGCACTGGTGCTTGCTCCCTCTGCAAGCGAGGGCTCAGAGCTTTAATTATAGCTTCTCTCCAGATCTGTCAGGGGCCCTAATTATGCTCTGTGGAGGCAGCTGCTGCTAGATTATTTCCCAAACACCTTTGAAGCTTTCAAAGTCCAAGCTTCCTATGGGCCACTCAAAAGGGACAGCGGAATGGCCTGGTGAGAGCAGGTGCCTGTAGAAAGATATAGAAAGGAGCACTCATCCCACTGCCCCCCAGCAGTGACTCTGTAGCCCCTCTCAGCCAGGAACACCAAAAGACAGGGTGGCAGGAGGAAGGATACCACCCAAGGCAACGGGGGGGGGGGGTGGTCTGTGTCCTCCAAGAGCATGGTGCCTCTAGGCCTCACCCAGCAGCCTAGCTCCACCAGACATGCCATACCAGAATTCAGATAGATCCCACTTCTGCATGTGCCTGGCTCTACTTTTCGGCCAGCCAGGCAATGGGCATGCAGTGCTGAGGAAAGTCAGTTCTGGTCTCCAAAGACATGCTCCTCTCCACAGCCACCTGGAGCTGAAACTCTACCCTGCAGGTGGGACAGAAAGGCCACTGGAGGATTTCTCTCTCTCACTGATGTCTGAACTCTGTGGAAATTGAATTTCCATACCTGGGTTCTTGTGAAAGTCTTTTATCCTACAAAATTCTCACTTTCACCTGAGTGCATACTCAGGTGAAACTCCAATTTTGGATTAAGATCACTGGCATATTGTGGCCCCTGGGAGCACCTGTCCTTAGGCCCCAGGGCTCCCCTCAGATTCTGGCAGGACCCCTGCTGCCCAGAACCAAGAATGGAGCCTCCTGCTTGGTCCCAGATCATCTTTCCAGGGTTTACCAGGAAAGACTGCAACTTCCGAAATTCTCCTCTGCCCCGTGACATCTGAAACAGCTGTATAAATCCCCTTTATGTTTTGTAAAGAGCTTGCAGAACAAGAAGGCTTAGAGAAACAGCTAATAGTTAATATAAATTCATCGGGTTCTTGGTTTTCACCTAAGGCAAAGAAGAGCCAGGGAGGAATTTTCTTGGTTCCTAGCACAACCTGGTCCTCAATCCTGGCCTGAGGGTAGCCTTGTCATATAACATCTGCCAGGGCAGATATTTCAGAAGGAAGCCCTGGATTCCCACTTTCCTCCATCCCTAGACTCTGCAGAGAGACAGATTAATCCAAGAACATTCCACTCCATAAAGGACCATTCATTTATATATCAGAAAACTCCCCTTAAGCCACCTCCCTTCTGAGTGGTCTTTACTCTTCCCCAAATTATCTCAGTGGAAAATAAAGCTGGGCCATTCTTTACTTATAACCCTCCCACCTAGAAGTAAAGAACTGATGCAGACAGTTTGACTTAGTTTGTAGTTTTTAGAATTACACTTAAATTCTTGAAAACTACTGTACACACAACATGGGGGATCTCACATGCATTATGATAAGTTAAGGAATTCAGACTCAAAAGGTGACATATTGTGATTCATTTGTATGACATTCTGTGCAGAGTAAAACCAGGACAGAAAATAAGTGGTGACTGGGGACTGGAGCTTATCATGGGGGGTGTGAGGGAGTTGTTTTGGGGTAAGGAATTGCGAAATATTGTAATTACGATGGTGGCAACATGATTCTCTGTTTTCACAACTCATAGAATCAGTTGTCTTCCCTACTAGCATACTTAGGTCAATGTCCTTGCCAGAACTAAAAGGGCAAAATTTACTCTATGCACATTGTTCCTCTATACACCTGACTTTTAAAAAATTAAACTACCATAATAATTATTTTGGCTAATCCTTTTTGGAGCAAGACAAATAATGAGTAACGATTAACCCCACCTACCTTTGAAAGTGGGAATTGGAACAGTCCGTAAAGTCAGGCGTGTCAGAGATGAGGATCAGGGTCCTACAGGAGGGGCCTCATCTCGAAGGAAGTACAGACCCTATGCAGGGTTCTTACTCACACTTACTGAGCTTTCCCTTCATATATTCAGCAGTGTCTGTGCTTCCCAGGAGGCGGGCAGGAGGCAGGTCAATACAGAAGTGCAGAGCCGCTGCCTGTGAAGGGCACTTGGTCTGATGCTCTTGGAGAAGAGAGGTGCTGCACAGGAGGAAAGCATTGGCAACAAAACAAGGACACTCTGGCAAGGACATTGACCTAAGTATGCTAGTAGGAAGGACAGTGAAGCTAATGCCATACATCCCTGAAACATGAACACGCAGATGCCCAACTAAGAGAGAAAGAAGCATTTTGTCAGGTGCTCATTCTTTTAGACCATGAAGGCCAAGGATGGGTCTGCCCAGGACAGCAAAAAGCCAACTCCCCGCCACTCTTGCCATCTACTCCCAACACAGAGGTCTTACTTCTATGACCCAGTGGTATCGGGAGGAAACAAGCAAGCAACTCCACAGTGGCTATCAGCTGGGCATCCTTTTCATTCTAACCCTGTCCCCCTGAAGATAGCATCAGAACCCATCAGACTGTCTCTGTGTCAGACACCAGTAGAAAATCCAGGTCTCTGAAACTTCTATCTGTCAGCTGAGGTTCTCATGACCTCTTCCCTGGGTTTGATTAATTTGCTACAGTTACTCACAGAACTCAAGGAGCCATACTTACAGGATTATTATAAAGGACATTACAAAGAACACAGATGAAGAGGAGATGCACAGTGTGAGGTATGGGAAAGGAGAACAGAGCTTCCTTCCATGTCCTGCTCATTGTACTGGGTTTGGCCATCTACAAACTCTCTGAACTTTTTTTTTAAGTATTTGGTACAGTGTCTCACTACACAGCTCAGACTCATAGTGATCCTCCTTTTTCAGCTTCCCCAGTGCTGGGATTACAGGTGTGCACCACCACTGGTCTCTGTGGCTGGTTTCAGTGCACGGGGAGGGGGGGTGCGGTGGCATGTGGTGCCAGGGATAGAAGCCTGGTCCCTGTGCTTCCCTAAGCAGGCGCTTAGTCTGCTGACCTATCTCATTGGCCCTCTGAAGTCCTTCTTTTAGGTTTTTGTGGAGTCTTTATTTCATGACTTAAGCATGAACAACCATGTAGAAAAGAGCTGGGGCAAAGGGAGTCTGATTCAACGCTGACAACTTGGAAGGAAAACCCAGCAAAGGTGCCTCTAAGAAAGCTGGAGAAAGATTAGAGTTTCTATAACCCACTTTGGGGAAGACAAATTTCTGTGGCCTGCTTTGGGGAAGGAGTTATGAATTATGATCCAGGAATTTTCATACTGGCACAACTCTCTTCCTCTGTCCTTCCACAAGTCTGAGGACACACTGTGAAGAAATACAGGCCCCAAAGTGAAGACAGCTGCTGTCATAACTTGGGGAATCTCAGAAGACTTTAGATATTTAATAATGAATCTGCTTAACAAATGAAGAGATCTCACATTAATAAAAATCTTGGGCCAACCAAATAGCTCAGTGGATTAAAGTACCTGCAAGCAGGTACAGGGGCCAGGGGTTTAATCCCCAGGCCTGCCATGCTGGCCCCACCCCTGGGGCATACTGAAATGGCAATTGAGACTGGGCATGGTGGCATGTGCCTGTAATCCCAGCTCTTTGGAGGCTGTAAACAGGCAGATCACTACAAAGTCTTATCTAGTAGTGAGACCCTGGATACCCTGTAGACCCTTCCCTAAAATACAAATTTTTTAAAAAAATCTTGTTGGCACTTGGGATTCCTAATTTTTCATTTTTTTAACCTGGGTCTGTGGTACTTTTGGCACCAGTAAAAAGAAAAATTTGCATTTCAAATTGGGCATTACAACAGCAAATAATAAGACCAGCCTTAGAATCTCTCCCTGGATCCCCTCAGTCTTTGGTTGATTGATGGATTGATTGCCTGATGGAATGATGGATGAATTGATTGATTGATTACTAGGGACCGAACCCAAGACTTTCACACTGAACTACATCCCCAGTCTTTTATTGATTTGTTTTAAATTGCTCAAGATGGGTTTGAACTTGTGATCCTCTTGCCTCAGCCTCTCAGAGTACTGGGATCACAGGCGTTACCACCATGCTAAATGATCCTTTCAATCTTAACCAACTCCTTTAATCCCAAAAATGGGTCTGTCTTTTCCTTCAGGGAGACTTTTCCAGGGAATCCAAGAAATCATTTTTGAGACTTCATTGTTGGGCCAGCTTTCTGAATGATATGAAGGACAATTTTTAAATTGTCTGAGTATGTTTTCCTGTCTTGTGAAAATACCTACAGAATCACCATGTGCAGTAGGGAGAAATCGCAAAGCCAGCTAAAACATCTGTTCCCAGCAAGACAGCAAGAATCTCAAGAATACCTGGGCCGACAAGCTGTGACCACTCTGTCACCTAGGGTTACTTCCATATGCCATTCACGGGTATCTATTTTGAAGTTGACCTTTCCTGGTCTCAGAACTATCTTTTCTAGCTTTGTGGTATCACTAATTTTAATTATCAGCATCCCAGCAAATGTCTTAATTTCAAATGTGTGGCTGCTTTTGAGATTGAGCCATTGGCTAAATGAAATTTCAGTATCTCATCATTTCTCTGTTCATGATGGTTATTCAAGCATGGTTCCTATGTATCCATCTTCTTACAGGATGTGGGCAGGAGAGGGAACTCATTCCCTCTAAATTATTGAGATCCCAGAACTTTTTCTAAAAAGGAGAAAGGTCATAAGATTCCTCCCACTCAAGCGCTTAAGCCCAACAAACCAGGCCCAGCCCCTTTGACTCCACCTCTGTTCACTAAGGCTTCTCCCAGGTCAAGAGGAAAGGAACGAGAATAAAAGAGAAGCAGGGGAGCGCCCTGTTTCCATGGCAGGGGAAACTGAAAGAGGCAGGGTCTTCCTGCAAGTCACTGACTGGTGGAATGGGGGATTTTCTCTTCCAGGGTTATCTGTCAGAGGGGCTGGTGACAAAGTGGTACCGCTCTCCACGACTGCTCCTATCCCCCAACAACTATACGAAAGCCATCGACATGTGGGCAGCCGGGTGCATCCTGGCGGAGATGCTCACAGGGAAGATGCTCTTTGCCGGTGAGTTTCTGACTCTGCCTTCTCTTTGGGTGTGAGTACAGAATACACACTAATCCTAAAACATGGTACTCTGTGGCTGAAATGACTTATTTGGGTTTTAGGGCATTTCCTGGAGGTAGCTTAATGTAATTTCAGGAAAAAAAAAAAAAAAAAAAAAAACCTTTAAAGGCTAAAACTAGCCCTATGAGTACAGAATTTTTTGTATGACGCTTCTCCTTTCTGGGATCTCAGAAATTTAGAGGGAATGAGTTCCCACTCCTGCCCACATCCTGTAAGAAGATGGATATATAGAAGCCATGATTCAATTAATAACCACCATCAACAGAAAATCAACACATGTTTTGCCATGTGTTGCGTGCTTGAGTTCTCCTAAAGTCATGCGTGGAATTCTGAACACCCAGTGTGGAAGTAAGAGGTGAGGCATTGGGAAGATGACTTAGCCATCAGGGCCATGACTGAGAGTGATGTAGAGAACAAGCTCTCACCAAAGGGCCTCGTGCCTTTATAAGATAAGCCCCGAAGAGCCCCCACCCCACCCCATCTTGTCCACCATGTGAGGCTGTACCGAGAGGTGCCATCCATGAGGAGCAAACGCTTTTCCAAACATCAAATCTGCCAGATCTTGGACTTCTTAGACTCCAACACAAATAAATGCTTGCTATCTATAACCTTTGCAGAGTATGGTATGTTCTGTTGTAACAGCATGGATGGACTACGACATACTTGTCTTCAAACCCCTCAACCACTGAATATACCCACCTAATATTTTCACCTCTTCCTCCCTTTCCCCTTCACAATCTTCCTTGCCCTGAAGCTAGAGGTGGACCCATAGTTCCCTAATCCTTCATGATTTTTTTTTTTGTTCACCTGGCACATAAACCCCTTTATGTTTAGAAAAACTACTACAAAATCTTCAAAGCCCAGTTTGTGCCCAGTCTCCTGTGAATCACAATTTGGGAAGTCTCGGCCAGGTTGCTCCCATCACGTTAGCCCTGGCTGTCGCGGTCTCCATCAGATAGGCCTGCTGCAGAGGCTCAGAAGATGAAGGGAACGGAGTTACCTCTCAGAAACCATCAGATTCAAGCTCTTTCTACATCATACAAAGCCAAGCCCCAAAGACAGCAAGCAACCTGCCACAGTCACACAGCAAGTTAGTGGCAGAGCGAATGTGAGCACCCCAGTCACCCGGTTCCCAGCCATGCTGCCCCCCTACCCTATGTTACACCTCCACTGCCAGCCCCATAGGACAGCTGGCGCTATGTTGGGGCTTCTGTACACATAGCTGCCAGGCAGCACATTTAACCCCAAGGCATCTGTCTCCCCAGGAGCTCATGAACTGGAGCAGATGCAGCTGATCCTAGAGACCGTCCCCGTGATCCGCGAGGAGGACAAGGACGAGCTGCTCCGCGTCATGCCATCCTTCATCAGCAGCAGCTGGGAGGTGAAGAGGCCGCTGCGCAAGCTGCTGCCTGACGTGAACAGTGAAGGTGCCTGAGCCAGCAGCCAGGTGGCCTCCCACGAGGCTGAGCTCTGGCTTGGCCTTGCAGGCCAGGGGCAAGAGCAGAAGGGTCTCCCTCAGAAAGGGTAGAGCACAGAACGCAGACATCCGGGCTCCCTGACAGTGGCCATTTGCCCACCTACAACCCCTCGTGTTAATGCTCAAAAGCTTCAGGTTACCTGAGTGTGGTAGCACACACCTGTAACTCCAGCACTTTGGGAGACTGAGGCAGAAACATCACAATTTCAAATTCAATCCAGGCAACTTGATGACTTAGTGAGACCCTGTGTCAAAACAAAAAATGAAAAGGCTTTTTCACTTAACTCAGGGTAAGACCCTGGTTTCTACCCACAGTCCTGAAAAAAAAAAACAAGTTTCAGATTTCAGAGCTCAACCAGTAAAGACTATGCAAACATTCAAAAACCTGAGCAAGTGTGAACTCTGAAACACTCCTGGTTCCACTCAGTTTAGGTGACAGCACCCCTCAGTAGCTACAGTGGCCATCACGTGGTAGGTGCAGGCCCCAAGGCCCCACTGGGGCTGTCCAGCTTGCTATGTTTACAAGAAGTAAAATCTGATGGACAAATCTAGTATGTGCAGTGGGGAGAGCAGGTGCTCTGTATGAAGCAGGTGGGAGGAGTTCAGGGTCCTGCCAACCAGCCTTTCAATCTCCAATGATGATTCAAGAATCTTTCCAGAGTACTTGGGGCTCTGCAGAGCCTGGTGTGGAATCAGTAAGTCCAGAGAAAGGTGACAGGATTGTACAGACACCGTGTTATTTGAGAAATGCCTTAAAATCTGGGTGCAGCAGGGCCTAGAGAAAGGTCAAAGACCCAAAGAAGGAATAAGTTGGCCAGGCCTGTTATGCTGGGCTTGCCCTGGATGGCTGGAGTCTTTCTCTCCTGGGAGTTTGTGGGCTTGGTCCTCTTCCTGGCCTTGGCCTGGGACCCAGAAACCCAGCCTGAGCCTCAGGGGGGTGATCAGAGCTAGTGCTGCTTACCTAAGCCCTCAGCCAAGGGATTCTCAGCTGTGCTGCAGCCCGTTGGGATGCTGGTGACCTTCTGAATCCACTGGTTTCCTACATCATGGATGACTTTTCCTGCAAAAAGAACCAGGGCTGGTGTAAAGGACAGATTAATCGTGTAGGCTACATCTGCGAGGGAGCCCTCAGCGGGCTTGGAAGCCTAGGCTTTGAGCTCAACCCCATTTCCTGCCACATGCAGGCTGCAAAGACTGCCATGCTAGGAAGACAAACCTCTGATCCATCCTTGCCCTACTCAGAGCAAAGGACAGTAGCACCAGCCCTGTCAGCTGCTGAACTCTCCCCTACCATGCTGGCTGGCAAATAGCCACTGCATGAGGCTTCTGACTGTCCCTCCTCCGAGGCCCCACAGCCCTGCACTTCCCTGGATCTTAGCCACTGAAGGGTTCTGCCTGGCACAACAAGGCACTTCAGCCTGGTTGCTCAGCATTTTGAATATCCATCAAGCCTGTACTTCTGTCTCTGAACCTTACAGCAGCCACAAATGGTACAAAGAACCAGGGACTCAGACAGCAGCTGTGGCTGTGAGGTTCTGATCCTCCCTCCCCTCCACTTTCTCCTTTCTCACCAAAGCTTTCTCCTGCAGTTCCCCTACCTGCTTCTGCCAGCCCTCAACCCATGCCAAGGGGTGGCTGAGTGTGTGGCCACCTTCTCACCCCTCAGGTAGCCACCTGTGAGCTGTGTCCCACGCTGTCTCCAGGAGGATCCCAGGAGACCTGAGGTCCTGGACCTGGGCCCTGCCTTGGAATACCTGATAGTTCCAGACCTAAGAATTTGTGAGGCAGATCCTCTTCCAGGAACAATCTGCTCATTACTAAACCTTGCACTGGTCTTTCTCTGCCCTGCCTGTGCTTGAACTAAAAATAGTTTTCAACAAAGGTAAAGGCACGAAAGACAGGGAATGTCACTACACTCAGGGATCTCTGTCTCAGCTCAGCACGGGTAACACATGACCTTCATGTGCCTGTCTGTTCCCCACAGCCATTGACTTTCTGGAGAAGATCCTGACCTTTAACCCCATGGACCGCCTGACAGCTGAGATGGGGCTGCAGCATCCCTACATGAGCCCATACGCATGCCCTGAGGATGAGCCCACCTCGCAGCACCCCTTCCGCATAGAGGACGAGATTGATGACATCGTCCTGATGGCCACCAACCAGAGTCAGCTCTCCAACTGGGACAGGTGCAGTGCAGGGCTGGAAGCCACATGCCCCTGTCCCTTCATTTCCATTTTGCCTTCCATCCTGTATAGGCTTCCCTTCTGCTTCCTAAGTTTGGTATAGTCCATTAGATACTTTCCCCAGCCTAGCTCTCTACCTTTCTCCTGTCCCCAGACACACCCAGCAAGTGACTCCCAAATGCTGTGGAGATGGGTCAGGGCCTCCTGTATAGCACGGCCACTCCCAGGTCTCCCCAGCACCCTGAGCCAACTGAACATAGAGTGCAGTACTCCCTTGTAGCAGACTGGGGATTTGCCTTTGAAAAGCCTTTGAAAATGCAAGTCAAGAAAACTGCAGTTAACCATTACCAAACATTCTCATTTTTCATATGAGTTGTACCTCCTGAGAGTGCCAGTGAAAGAGACTTCATTATTATTATTGCCCATGAAGAAGCTACAACTCAGATAGGTCAAATGATTGGCCTCCTGTCACAGCAATTATGTATGGAGTCCACCCCAGACTATATCCATGTTGGATACTGCTAAGCAATTATGAAATTTTTCCTTGCTAAACTAGGCTTTGCCTCAGGATCCTTGACAAGGGTCCCCAAGAACCCACTATCAATGAATCATGTTGGGTAGAAGATACATTTTGTAAGCCATGTTTGCCTGGGCACGTAATGATCTCATAGGTCTGCTCTGCTCTGACGTTCTTAGATCAGGCAGCTCCATATTTGGGCACTGCCATCTGCTCATTCTAGAGGCAGGGCTGGTCGCTGCTCAGTTAGAAATAGCAATAGAGGGCTCTGCAGTTCTGGCTCCAAGGGAGCCTACCCGGGAGCCCCGCAGCCGTGGGATGTGACAGCTAGTTATGCAAGTGACAGATGAGCAATGTCTTCTTTTTAGTCATTTGACAGATGATGGGTTTCAGATTAAGGAGGGCCTAGACCACAGCGCTGCTATTTTTGGACAGGTTTGGTTTGTTGTTGTAGATTGTTGATTTCAAGTGTTGCCAGCAAACAGAGATTAATGGAGACTGTTCTGCCACCCCCAGGCTGCCCTGCTCTGAACTGTCTTCCTCACAGTGCCCCACTCTTGCCTGCCACAGAATCTGGGGACACAAGCATTGGCTCAGCAAGGTTCACCCTATACCAATCATGCTATGGCTAAGCGTTAGTGCCAGTGAAAACTGTAGCCCAGTTGCTGCCCATCAACTGCGGCCAACACTAAACCTCCTGACACACCTGCATGAGGAACAAAGATGACAGAGGCCATGACAATCCCTTCCCACTGGCCTTGCTCCTGTAGGCCTTACTTCACCTCTTGGCATGCATATTTCTTCACCTATAAGAGGTGGTAGTGACAGGTTGCTGGGCAGATTACAGCTAATGTAAGCTTAGCACTTGGCCTCTAGCAGCCAAACTTGGGTCTTCATACTCCTAGAAATCTCTGCAGTTTTGAGATCACTTGAGGTAGGAGGCAGTGCTGAGCTCTAGGGGCAATTCCTACTCTAGTGGCAGCCCAGGAGGAGGGAATTCTTTCTACACCTCTATAACCAGTCTGTGGCCTGAAGCTGCCTGACCTGCCCCTTTACATAACCAGCCCTGTATGGCATTGGTTTGTGTCACTGATTTGTGCGGGCGGGCACCAGATCTCCTGCTCAGGCAGCAGCTGGGCAGGGACTGCTGCCTCCTCTGTGCTTGCTCCCCTCCCACCCATCCTGACTCTGCACAGAGTACCTGGAACCAAGAGTAAGGGCTCAGCCAGACCTGACACCCACCCACCTGTCTGGCTGCCCTTCATTTGCTCTTGGCTGACTTCTCTTTCCACAGCTGCAGGGCACTCCACAGAGAACAGAATTCCAACTTCTTCTTTTTTTTCTAATTTGTCACTACACAGCTCAGACTCATAGTCGTCCTGATATCTCAGCCTCCCCAGTACTGAGATTACAGGCATGCCCCAACACCCCACCTCCCAAACTACCTTCCCCCAGTTTTGGTGGCCAGCACAGTACGTGAGGTTCTGGGGCCCAGCTTGACACACAGTTCGAGAGATCAAGCCTGGGTCCTGCACTTGCCAGGAAGCACTTAGGCCACCGAGCTATCTCCCCATCCCTCCAAGGAATTCTGACGTCTCCCGATGGTGGTTCTGATCTCTCTGTAGGCCCCACCTGCTCTGTGTCAATGCACCGTGCTGCCCAGCCCAGAACCAGGGGGACAGGTGTTCTCTAACCCTCTGGGGAGGTTTCACAATCATGCTGAACCACCAAGTCAGAATTGAGTTGGGAGTGTAGCGAGGCACACCGGCTGATTCATTTTTAATCCCCCCTTATGTGATTCCAACATGGGGGAAAAGTATGGTCCAAGGACCAACAACATCGCCACCCTGTTAGAAATGCAGGCTTAGTAGAATAAGTGCTACCCTGGCAAGCACAAGGGTCTGAGTTCAATCCCTGGTTCCGCAAAAAAAAGAAAAAAAGAAATGCAGAACGCTGGGCTCCACCTCGTAATCAACTCTGCATTTTAACAAGAATCCCCAGGTCATGTGTGTACACAGAGAGCAGACGTGAGCAATGCATGGATGCTTTCCATGAGAAAGCTTACAAGGACAGGGCTTGTGTTTCGTTGATAGCAGACTGCAGTCCTGCCTAGAGCAGGGAGTGCACACAGTGAGTGCTCCAGTAATACGTGTATGATCTGAAATGAATACAAAAGAATACAAGGGTTAAGATGAACAGTCCCTCTAGCTGAGCCCTTTAAGACGCATGTTTACCTGTGCCGTCATCCTGAAGACAGCGGCAGGAGGGACAGAAGAGAGGAAAGCAGGCTAGAGGGGGCCAGCAGGGAAGGCGCTATCACTGCTTGTTCATTTCCTTGCAGGTACCCAGTGAGTCTGTCGTCAGACCTGGAGTGGCGACCTGACCGGTGCCAGGACACCAGTGAGGTACAGCGCGACCCGCGCGCGGGCTCGGCACCTCTCATGGAGGACGTGCAGGTGGACCCTCGCAAGGACTCGCAGAGCAGCTCTGAGCGCTTCCTGGAGCAGTCACACTCATCCATGGAGCGTGCCTTTGAGGCTGACTACGGGCGCTCCTGTGACTATAAGGTGGGGTCACCGTCCTACCTGGACAAGCTACTGTGGCGTGACAATAAGCCGCACCACTATTCGGAGCCCAAGCTCATCTTAGATCTGTCACATTGGAAGCAGTCGGCGGGTGCGCCTTCCACGGCTGCCGTAGTGACAGACGCAGTGGCACCCGAGGAGGAGCCAGCCAGCCTTTTCCTGGAGATCGCCCAGTGGGTCAAGAGCACACAGGGCGGACCCGAGAGCACTAGCCCGCCCCGAGATGGCCCCGAGCGCCGCCTGTCCCCCTCACCCTCTGACTGCGCGGCCCCGGTTGACGGGGGTGCAAGCCCTCAGTTTGACTTGGATGTGTTTATCTCGCGTGCTTTGAAACTCTGCACCAAGCCTGAGGACCTGCCAGAGGACAAACTGGGTGACCTCAATGGCGCATGCATCACAGAACACCCTGGTGACCTCGTGCAACCGGAGGCCTTCTCCAAAGAAAGGTGGTGAAGCCAGAGGGGGCCTTTGTAGTCCCTAGCAGGAAACCACCCCAGAAAGCCCTGCCTGGCCGGAGGGGATCACCACCCCTTCTGCCCCTCTCTGCAGCCTTGGGGTTAGCAGAGCACATGAAGGATCCGAGGAGCAAGAGGAATGTCCATTTCTTAAACTGCCTTAATTACCAGCCTTTAATCTCTGGGAGCAACTTTGAACAGGAGCTGACTGGGAGTAACCACTTTCCCAGCAAAAAGGAGGCCGTGTGTTTTATAAGTGGCAGGGCATGGGAAAAAGCGAGTCTTAACGACAGTCTGCAAGCCCTGCCTGCGTGGTCAGGTGCAGAGCAGATTGCAAACACGATTGTGAAGCCATCTGGCTCACCAGCCTCACCTGACAGCTGAGGAAGGACACTCAGGCCCAGAGAAGCAAGGTGATTTATTGAGGTTCATCGACTTGTTTAGTCAGTGTCAGGGTGAGCCTTGAATCCCAGTCTCCAGCCCCTGGACCAGTGTCTGTCCCCAGTATCATGTCTTCCTCTGCTAGGTCATCTGGCTTTGTTTTTTGTTTTTGTGGGGTTTTTGGCAAGAAAACTTGGTCCGAGATGTTTCTGCCCTGTCCATTACCATCTGATCCACCCAGCTCTTTAATTCAGAGCAATGTTCCTTGTATTCTTAAACTGGAAACTGAATCAGTTTCTGCTAGTCCCAGGCATATGTTTACTGGCTCCCCAAATATGTAGATGTTCTCATCTGCCACCCCCTCCTCCATGTTTGCCTCATCTCTGTGTGGTCTGAAATCTTTGTTTCAGAGCAGAGCAGTGCAGGGTCCTGGGGAAAGTTGGCCACTCTCCCAGGCCTGTGCACACACCTCTGGCGCGCCCCATGCACTTTCCTGACTCGCACAGAGACACTGTCCTCATTCCCCGGTGGATGTCGTACATGATGAGTTTGAAGACAGCCGTAGGACGAATCCCTCCACCCTAATCTCTTGCATTCACCTGCCCCCCCACACACACACACACGTACAGAGCTCCTCTCCAAACCCACCCCGGCACAGGAAGTTCTCAGTACATATTGCTCACTTGGAGGAAAACAATGAGATGCCTGCCATAGACCAAACACATCAGGAGGGAAGGTTTCACATGGGACCTGTCACCCCTCAGGCATACTGCCCTTGATTTGGGCCATCCATTTAGCACTGGCTGAGAGCAGGCCCTAAGAAAAAGCACTGGTCAACTAGCAACCTTGGGGCAAGGAACTCAGAAAGATAGGACAGGTAACAACTGAAGTTCCCCCCACACACACAACACGAGCTTGGAGTACACACCCCTCTGCAGAAGCATGGGTTGGAGTCACTCACAGTCCCTGGAACTCTGCCATTGGTGTCCATCTCTTTACTTTCCCCAAAACCCCAAAGATACCCAAGGAAGTCTAGCCAGCCTGTAGGGAGGAGATTCCCCCAGTGTGGGTCTTGGACTGTGTTTACTCTCACATCTCAGCACCTTAAATTCAATCAGCAAGTTATCATTTGTACACTGAAACCTGCTACATGTTAGGAGCTTATATTTAAAAACAGAATGTAATCACATTGACCTGTTTTTAAATGAAAATATGTAAATATGAAGAATTTAGGCTTTGCTTTAAGAAAAAAAAAAAAAGGAAATATATACCAGTCCTCATGTGCCATTGTGTCCTCAGAGTGTGACTTTACTTTTTGGGTAAAGGAACAAGCTGCTGACCTTGACCAGAAGTTCGTGTATAGTTGTCCTTACAGAGAAATTCTTATAACTACTCATTTTTTTTAAAGACAATTCTATTAAACATTATTAAACTTGATCAGGATGGGCCAAATAAAGTTTTATTGGAACATAGATTCATTAATGTATTCTTGCATTTGTTTAAACCTTACCCGTGACTATCTTGGACAGTGGTTAATTCACTGGAGACAAGGCCAATGTTTTGAGGGACCAAAGATGGGAATGAGAGGGGAATGTTGAAGAGAGGACTCTACACAGACTGGTAAGCAGGAGGTGACTTTGGAGCCACTTGGTGATACCTCATGTCCATAACTACATCGCCAGCCCCAATCTGGAGCCAATTCCAAACCTTCTAACCAGGGCTGGTCTTTCTATCTAGTCACAAAAGTTGCCAACATTATGACATTTAGAAGAACCAACCTTCCAAGATACCCATCTGAGCCCCATCCCACAGATGGCTGAGATTTTACCAATCTGAAGCAGATCCTCTAATATCTATGCCCACATGGTCGTCCTCACTTCATTTTTATTCAACAAATATAGGTAATTGTAAATCTTTGTTTCTGTTGATTTTGAGTTCCCCGAAAGACCACTCAGTTAAAGAACTCACAACAGTTGCAATGCATCTGAGCCAAGATGAACAGGCTATTAAGCCACTTACCAGATTCTCTCCCAAGTGTCAGCTGATCTCTTTATCCACTGTTGTAATTTCTGAGGGTGTAGCCACCCACAGTCAACTTCAGTCCAAAAATATAAAATAGAAAATTCCAGAAATAAATGATTCATTAAATTTTACATTTCATACCATCCTGTATAGCATGATGAGATCTCATAGTCCCACTTTGTCCCCAAAAGTCCTAAAGTCCACCAACAATACCAGTTCATCCCTTTGTTCAGTGTATCTATCTATTTTGTATGTGGCACCCACCTATAGGTCACTTAGTTGTCTCTTGGTTACCAAATCAACCACTGGATGATCTCAGTGCTTGTTTATAGAACTGGGCTCTGGCCATAGTTTGAGGCATCTACCTGAGGGGGCAGTATAAAAAGGGGTCTTATCCCCCTTGGATAAGAAGAGACCATGAAACAATCTCTCTGTCAGTACAGGTGAGTGAAGACAGAAGGCAAGGGCCAGGCACTATTGAAGTTTTCTATCGGAAAAACTGTTAGGCCTAATCTGAGACCTGGGTCACTAGAACACAGGAAGTAGAGTATGGAGCTGGGAGAGTTGAGAAGCTGAAGCAGCAACTAGCACCAAAGAGGAAAGAAGGCCCCTGGAAGAAGTATACTTCCATCACTATACAGAGCCACCAGAGCTTAAGCCTATAACTTCTCTTGCAATTGTACTAGGGACACTCTATGTGTGTTACACTGAAGTCAGTGCACCAGCCTCCATACCACAGCTTTGGAGCAGAACACAGCTACATCTGTTCATTTATGTATTATCTGATCCTGTCTTTAAATTTTTGATACTTTATTCATCCAGGATTTTTTCACTCATATTTTAAAATTTAGAAACACATACTGTGTTAAAATATTAATCTTGGTGCTGAGGTATTTTTGCCACCCTGAAATGCTATGCCCAGTGTGAGTACCTTGCTCACCTACACCCCGATCTCGGCCCAGCTCTGTGGCTGCTTCCATGCCACAGAAGCTGCACATGTGCAGAGGAGACCTCATGGACCACAGAACCAGAGACATTTGATAATTTCCCCCTTTTAGAAAATGTTAGCTAAGTCCTGGTGTAGATATTATGGGGTTTCCACATCTTTCTGAATAAGCACACAGCCTACCTTGGCTTGTCTTGCCATGGGTATTCCCATCTAGAAACTTCATGGTCTCATGTGTGAATTTTTTACTTACCATTATTTAGAGAAATGCATTTATTCACTGGTGGGAAGTTACCCTGATGGCAGGCACCCTTGTCTTTTGGCTAAGGAGACATTATGCCAGGGGTCCTTGCCATGGTTAAAGCCAGGCTTTCAGCTGGGATGGTTAGAACAAGCAAAGGAAAGGCCCCACCATGTTCTCAATTAAGCCATTATGCTCCACATAGACATTTCCCACCTGTATGGCAGTTTCTCTTCAAGATTGTGGAAAGCTAACCTGAGGGAAGTTTAACCAAGCTAATTACCCATCCAGCTAATAGTCCTGTCAGTGTGGACAACAGATGGGAATTTATGAGTAATCTAATCCAACTCCCTCATTTTGTAGATGAGTAGATTGCAATCCAGAGCAGGATAGTAATTTACCTAAAGCACATAGAAAATAACAAAGCTATAGTTCTCTCTCCAGGATCAAACTCAGGTCACTCAGCCTGACTGGTGCACAAACACGGGGGCTACACATGGAGGAACAAGACCAATCCTGAGCATGGAGGCGGAATGTGGGAGCCAGGCCACCAAAGACCATGCGCTCCATTTACTCGTTTGCCATGTAAGAGCCCCAAGTACCAGGCTGACAAGAGAAGTGGCATTCTGCTCCCCCAGACAGTTTCTGCCTGGCCTAGGGCTTGATCTATGTAGTAAGGGAGAAAAACGAGAAGGGCATGCTGGCTTAATTTGATTCCCTTCAGAAGCAAACTCTAAGCTAAGGATTCAAGTGCAGGGGGTAGGAAGGGAAGTCTCAGGAAATACTCAAAGGCCAGCAGGGCAAGACTGGGAGTACATGCTCCTACCACAGCCAGTGGGAGCTGCATTGGGCAGGGGACTCCGGGGCAGCATGGGACACATACCTCCAAGTGGCCTCCCTCCGACCAGGCCTGGGGGTGATGACTGTGCTGAGGTACAGCTTCCTCAGCACCTCTGGTCTGTACTACTGCAGAGCAGGCTCCAGTGGCTACAAAATAGCCACAGGACCCAGATGTAGGAAGTTAGGCTGGCCTGCACCAATAGCTGAGGGCCTCCTGTATCAGCGACAGCAACCTTTAGGTATCAAGTGTGGGATTCAACATAAAGCAGATCTAGAAGCCAGGGAGAGGACACCTGCTTAGTTCTGGCAATGCGGGTCCTGCCTTGGCTCCTTTCAGGCTTCCCTAGTCCTTCTTTCCTCGCTGCAAGAATAAAAATTGACCCCCAGGCAGGAAGCTGCTGGTAAAGCTTCCGTAAACAGGGCTGCGCATGGCATAGGCGCTCCTCTAAGCAACCCATGTCCACATGTAGACGTGCCAAATCCACCGTCAGGCTGATAGTCACAGTCATCCAGCTCTGGATCAACCTCAGCCACTGTTGAGAAGTGTTGGCATCGAACCTTGGATCAGTCCTGCTTGCGGGTCTATAGCTTTGGTGAAAGAGCTGGGGTTCGTGGTGGACTTTAATGGGGTGATCAATCAGTCATGCAGGGCCAAGGTGACTACTTTAGCTACTTGGCCTCCAGGTCCTCTCTTCCCAGAGCTCACGCTGATGCTGCACAGTTCAGTGCCTCTGATGTATACAAGAGCTCTAACCAGGCCACATACTGCAAGGGCTCAGAGGTTATTTCCCAGGGACCAGTGTCCCTAACTACAGGCCTTTCTTAGGAATGTACAAGATTTGAGCAACCAAGAACCTACTGAGTTAACCCTGTGCCACACAGTAACATGTTAAACATATTTGGAATTCCTGCAATTCAAAAATCATATGAGAGTTTTTCTGGGGGAAGCTGAGAGCAAGGCTGAGACAACACAGTTATTTACAATGAAGACCTTATTTGGTCCAGTGTGACCACATACTTTTAAGCATATGCTCCATTATTAAAATATAGTAATAAAAAGCATGCCAGCTGAGGCAGAGCAGTTCTGACACCTGAGATTCCTTTTCTTATTAAATCTTGTTCTGCTTATGAATACTAAGGCTGTCAACAAATTTGCAAGCTGACTCACTGCTCATTCTGTCAGCATGGTTATTACCCCTGGAGCAACTAGGCCACACACATGATGGATTACCTTGGAAAGCAGTTGTTTCCCATTACCCAAAGGTACTCTGCCGCAGAGAGCTGAGGGCTTTGGAGTGCTAAGGCTGAGGGAGCTCCTTCTCACTGTGCAGCTGCCCGAGAGATGGCCACCTGAGAAGGAGACAAGGTGAAAGAAAAAGGTATCAACAACTGGGGTAAGCTATGTCTCAGCTCTAACCCTTAGAAGATGGCAAAAGACACGCAAGGCTGGGCGTGGTTGGACACACCTGTTATCCCAGCTCTCTACAAAGATGAGGAAGGAGAATCTCAAGTTTGAGCTCAGCCTGGGCAATTTAGCAAGTTAGTGAGATCTTGTCTCAACATAATAATTTTTTTAAATGAGCTGGGAAGGTAGCCCAGTATAAAGGCTGTAGAAGGGGGAAGAAAGCAAAGGTGAGACTCCTCACAATGGGGTCCAGCTAAGTATGACTAGAGGATATAGTGGTTAGTTTGGTGTGTTAATCTGTCTAGGCCATGACACCCAGATATTTGATCAAATATTTTCTGGATATTTTTGGGAGAGTGTTTTTGTTGTTGTTGTTGTTTTGTTTTGTTTTGGATGAAATTAACATTTAGGTCAGTGGACTTCCAGCCAAGCAGATTGGTCTCTCTGATATAGTTGGGGCCTTTCCAACAAGTTGAAGGCCTGCAAAGAACATGGGAATGACTTCCCCCCAAGCAGGAAAGAATCCTGCCAGCAGACGGCCTCCCTGCTTAAACCCTAATGTCAGCTCTTCCAGGGTCTCCAGGCGCTGACCCAGCCCGCAGGTTTGCTTCCCACTTGTTAGCCTCTGTAATTCCTTAAGATAAATCTCCTCAAGCTCTCCCCACATAAATATATGGGTGAATACATAGACATGTCTGATTGTGAATCGTCTTTCTTGGGAGAACACTGGCTCCCAGATTAATACAGAAAAGCAGGGCTTTCTATGCCATCCCATTTTCCTTCCCTCAGCTGGGGAGGTTGACAGTATACTTATTTTACAAACAAGGAAACTGATGCACAGAGAAGCTAAATAACTTATCCAAAGTCAGCAGACATAGGAATTTGGAATACAGTAGAGCTAGATGACCAGGCTAGGATTTCTGGTCCATCATTCACTAGCTGTGTGACCTGGGGCAGGTTACTTAACTTTCTTCAGTGTTCTCAGTTCTGTCACCTATAAAACAAGGAT